ATGGGAGACGTGGACCGAGTATTGGACAGACGGTAAGAAACTTGGTCAGAGAAGGTGGGTGGACAGCTTGTTACAGAGGATTGGGACCAAGATGTGCATCAATGTCGATGTCTGCAATGACTATGATCACTACCTACGAGTTCTTGAAACGGCTTTCGGCTAAGAACCATGACGGGTTTTGCTCTAAATCATAGTGATAACAACTGAAAAACTCCACATAGAGATGGGAATGTTCATTTTCTTTTAGCTTGTTCTTGTGTAGTTGCTCTGCTTTTTCTTTTGATTTCCAGTCATATGTAAGGAAATGTGTTAAAATTCAGTTGTTTCTAAATAAAGAAATGTTTATTTCCTCATTTCCTTTGGATCGGTTCACCATAACCAGGATTCTAAACCGGTATGATAAAATGCGATATAAAAAAAGATGACTTGTAAGACCTTCTTGGGCAATTCGCAGTCTTGCTCATCAATAGTAAGAACACACGACAAGATTTGATTTGGCAATATATGTAATTCATGAATCACCACTTACGAAAGTGATTTACAGTTATTGATTGTGACTTTATATTATTTGTTAGCATTTCAGGAACACAAGTGTGTGTATCTGTCACATAAGTCAACTTGTTTTGGAGCAGAATCTCACGTTTCTTCTTATTAGTTCGTTCTTACATATTACAACTAGTTTATTCTTTCTTAAATAAGAAATAAATTCATAGAGACGGCTTTGATAATTTGAATAAAAATATTCACGAACGTGTCAAAGAAATGGTAATATTTTCAAGTATCTTTAAGTGTGTGATGTTATTTTCTCAGACAGATAAATGGGAATCTTTCAACACTCATTTCTTAATTATAGGTAGGAAGTGCATCCAGAATAAAAAATAATTTTATGGTGTGTATGTAATGGATTCTTCATTAAATATAACTCAAACAATGTCAACTAAATTGTAAAATATTTCAAGAATCCAAATGTCTCTTCACACAACTCAATGGAGTGGAAGCAGAATCTGTGTTTTTCTTTGTCATATTCAAAAAGAATCCGGAGACTTCTTCACAGTTGGCACAAATGAAGAGAAACAAATTGTAAATCATTGAAAAGAGGAACTGAACGTTAATCATAAAAATCAAACCACTAGTTTCAACATGAGATGCATGGTTTCAGAAGATAAAAGACAAGCAAGAGTGTTTCAAAGTGTAGATCTTGATCGTTCTTGTGATGTCTTACACAAACATAATGTGGAATTAAAACACTAACAAGCAGCAAAAGAACTAGTAGTAGCCAAGGATGACTTCCCCTTTAGGTGGGAACATGAACACAGCACCACGATCCAATGTCTCAGATATGGACAGAGAAATGGTGCAAGTCCCCACCTCCATGCATGTCATTAGATTGACCATGAACAAGCATTGCTCGGTTCGTCTGAGTTGGGAAACCTGCAAAATGGAATTCAGTGTGTCCGAAGATATCAGCACCGTCGGAAACAGATGTAATGTCTGAGCCGGAAGTGGTTGAGCAGCGGTCTTTGTTGCGCAGCATATGAGCTTCGAATCTAGACATGTTTGCCTTTTTGTTTTCCTGTTGGATCGACTTTTCATGTTCTTGTTCTCTAGCAGCAGCTTGTTCAGATTCTTGAAGAAGTTTTTTGGTGTTTAGGAATCTTCCACCTGACCCTCTTGGCCTTTTAAGAGCATGAACATGTCGAGATTCATGAAGATACGGCTGTGTAATAAGAAAAACAGAGATGAGCAAAGCAAATCTACGGAGGAGTGCCTTTGTTCGAGATGGCCCCATAAAGTGAAGATATTTATATACCTTACGGGCTTTGATTAGTTTGTTTTGAGCCTCGAGCTTGGCACGTTGCTGTCTCCTTCTCATAATTGCGTGGTATTGCTTCGCATTGACAAAGACTGGCTCAGTTTCCGTGAGCTCCCCTGGTAAAGCAACTCGACCAGGAACCATACCCCCCAGTTGGGGATTGCATGTCTACAAAACAGATTAATAAGAGACTCGAGATCTCAAGGACGGCTAAAACGGAAATGACAATCTACCACTTGGGGTTCTCGTTTCTTTGCAAGACATAATGGAACTGCTTCATTGTGTAACTAAATCCAAGCATACCAGTAGAAGAAGATATATGAAACTCAAGGTTGTACTTACCATTGCATTTGGTAGATAAGTTGCAGCTAATGAACCACCAAAATGTGGATCAGCATAGTGAAAGGAGAAATTAGCCTGCACCATGTATGATATAAGATATCAGTCCACCATTAGAAGTTTTGTTATTATTACTGATTCATAGATTTACAAATACCTGAGTAGGAGCAAAGTGAATATTCGGGTATCCTGTCATCGGGCTTGATTTAGGATGAGTCGCAAATCCCTTCCGCTGAGTTTCTTCAGATCCTGGAGAAACATCTAAGAAAGTAAGAGAGAAGATACAGCAAAAGGATGGATTCTCTTGTAAATAACATGAGGATTGAACATATACCAACAATCCAATATCTAATAAGCAACCAAAACCAAGTCCAAACATCAAGGCAAGAGTCTTTTATCATAGATGATGACTCAATCTTCTCTTCTCAATATGTGTTCTCAATGGGAAGTAACGAGAATCGAGCAAAAAACCCGATTATTCTTTAAAACTGACCTGATCTTGCTGAAAAAGAGATTTGTCTGGAAGGATTATCATCTCCACTACTTGCAACTTCGGTATACGATTGACCAGTGGACTGAGTTGAAGATGAATCCTGGTCCTGAAAACTGATTTGCTTTGTGGCTTGCATAAGTTCAGGCCTTGCATCAACCTTCAAGCTTAGTGTTTCATTCGGAACCACTCCCCATGAGATGCTAGTGTTCAGATATGGCAAAGTGGAATCTTTCTTATTCATCTGATGCATAACTTTCTCAACAAATCTATTTCTCACAAGAATGAAGTCGAATCAAACAACCTGTAAATCATTCAAACCATGATTTCAAAGATTAAAACTTTTGGATAAAAAAAGAAAGGATACAAAACAAAGATCCAGAGAGAAATTTAAAGGGATGATTCAAGAACCTAGAAATAGAAGAAAAGTTTCTAAATTTGTGTAATTTTTTTTAAATCTAAACAAGACCCTGATTCGATACTACGATTAGTACTATCTTGGGTATACCAAACGACTCACAGATCGTGACGATTGGACGAAATTAGAAATTTTCCGACCAAGATAAAAACTTGTGTTCGTCATCACTTTTGGGCAAAAATGCGTTGACTTAAGGAAATTTTTTTTAGCAAGAATTTCCAAATCAGTAAACATCAATCGCACGCCACAAGAAACAGATACACCAAAAAAATCGAACAAAGTTTAAAGGGGAAATTTTTATTGACAAGAGATTAAATACTAACAGATGCAGAAGGAGAGAGAAACCTTTTTGAGTATTCGATGAAGAAAGAACAAGGAAAGGGGTTTATTTTTGCATGTCTCCTCTTTGCTCTTACAGAACAGAGTAAAACTGTTTCTGTGTCTCAGTGATTCAGAGAGTGTAATCGTCTTTGTATGGTTTGATCTTCTTCTGGTTATTTTTTTGTCTCTTGGCGATTTCTTTCTCTCTCTTAGCTTTCTCGTGAAACCACCATCGCCATGACCACCATTACCAGTATTTACCACCTTCTCCTTCTTGGTTTAATTATTGTCTTAAGTGCTTTAATTATTCATTTAATATCGTAATTTATTGTTCACTTTACCCAAAAACCACAGAATATGACTCTCTCTCTCCCTGCCTATCCCACCTTGTAGAATCAATTACCCAAAAAAGATAAAGACCTTTTTTTAATCTTTTTCTTTCTTTTATTTTTACTAATTTCAGATTCCTAAATTCCCTTCAAAAAAAAGTTTGTGAATTTAGATAACTTTGTGAATTTAAAATGTGAGCTTAGATAACTTTATAAGACTAGTGAGAATGTAATTCTCAAAAGGTAAAATGTATGATTTATCAAGTGACTTTTGGTTTTGTTAAACTCTTGGTTCAAATTTTATTTTGAAAATATTTAAGTTCAAATTATTCCCTCTACCGAACGAAAAAAATCGTTTAGTTTCGGCCAAAACTTTTTAAAATATTTTCAAAATTCACTATTTTTTGTGTGGACAATTCACTCACTAGTATTTTTATCTCTACAAAATCCGTTTAACAATATTTTTTTTTTGTTTAATCACTTTAGCAATAATGTATTATACTCAGGTCTTATATTAACTTTTCCCCCATCTTTTTGTTTGGAATATAAGTAAAGTAATTTTTGGCTGTATGATGTCTTCCTAATTAATCTAATCTAATAGTGAAGCCAAAAAAGCAATAGCCATCTTGGCCACGTTAGCTTTGTTATATTATATTTTTATTAAATTTGTTTGTGAAGCTTTTAAAAATGCTAAATTGTTTATTTAGCATTTTGTCCAAAGTGTGTTGTCGTTTACAAAGTATGCAACTTTTAAAATTTGTGAACCGTCCTTAATTGCCATTAGGTCTTTACTCGTTAGTCTTTAGCCGCCCCTCTGCATATTAATATCTCACGCGCTCCTGAGTTCGTGATTCACACGCTCTATGGAGTAAGTAAACTTATAATTTTATTATGGGAATTAAGTTTCAGTTTTAATCTTCCTTAAGTACAGTATAGCCTAGTAGTTTTAAGGAAAATGTAAGCATGTAAAATGAGATCGGAATAAAGGATTGAATAATACTAAAACTTAGGTTGGGTTCTTAATCAAGTACCTAACCATTTTTGCAGTTAAAGAAAGCTTTAGTGCAAGTCAAGCATAGTCATGCTTCCTTTATCCTTGGAACAACCAAAAACATAATAATTGCTACTTCATGTTTTCTTAATTCGTTTTTAAACAATTTTTTTTGTATATTTCCTGCTTATTATTATGGGCTTTGGCCTTTGAGCCCTGATCCATGAGAATTAGGACACGTGGCTAATGGGTACTTATCTACTACTAGGGACCCAACACCAAAAAGCTAATTACATTTGTTTGGGACTAAAATCAAAGTAGACCGTGAAAAGACAAGTGCAACTGAGAAAGACAACAAATCCTTCGTAGACCAAATCGAACCCGGAACTCATAACCAACCGGTCATAAAATAAACCGAACTTAACAAATCAGAAGCGGAACCGAAAGTTATAATTTTATTATGGGAATGGACTCAGGGGGTTAGTGAGGATTTTCTTCACCCCCAAAATTTACAGAGAAAGATGAATCGAAAGCAGCAAATTAAGCACTTTAACTCTGGAAAATTTAGAGAAGCACTTGAATCTGGAGGCGTCGGATTACGGAGAAACTCCTCGTGGCTTGATCGTTTGA